CAGTTTAATGGGACAGAAAAGGAAGGAAATAATGATAACAGTAATGATAATAATTAGAATATACAAACCAAGCAGTGCAATTGCTCACCACTCACCAACCAATGGCTAGCATCCCAAAAGCAGGAGCCCTCAGCCAGCTTTCCCATCAGCTTCTCTACTTAGCATGGCATCATATAGTTTGGAGTATCCCTTTGGCCTGCTTGGGTCAGCTGTCCTGGCTGTGTCCCTTCCCAACGCTTTGTACCCCTCCAGCCTTCTCACTGGCAGGGTATGAGAAGCAGAGAAGTCCTTGACTTAATATAAACACTAGCTGAAAACCACCAGTGTGTTACCAACATTATTCTCATACTACATCCAAAACACAGCTCTGTGCCAGCCATGTACGGGAAAGGAAAGTGACTCTATCCCAGCCCAAACAGGATAATAAACTACATATTTATCTTACATATTGTCTCTGTGTTTGTGGGCATCAGGGAAAAAGTGATTGGAACAGATGTAAACGAGGAAAGGCTTAGCAGGCAAACACAGCAAATCCATTTCATACAAAAGGAACATCCTAGCAGAAAAGCACTGAAAGAAGACTCTGCACACACGTGTAACTGACATGCAGGACAGGTTAAGAAAACAGGAGTGTCTCAGTATCAAACCTATCCCTAACAGGGATGCCACTATTGTTCTACCCAACATTACCCCAGATGAGGAGTGGTATTCCCCTGTTCCAACCTGCTTTGGTTTATGATCAAAGAGCTGAACAACTTGCTCCACAGGGAACACACAGGAAAAAAGAAGCAGCCCCTGAGCACTAGTGTGTGTGAAGTCCGTTGTCCATCCAATGTGTGCTGCTGGTTTTCTGGCTGCCACTCTCTCAAATATTAGACAGTGAATATATGGCTTCTTTTAACATTCCCAGACAATTTGCTGAGCAAGCAGAAGACACTTTACCATAGTCATGTTTCACTTATCAAAACAGAGGCTCAACTCTTGGTAAATACTCAGCACCTAAAACTTCACATTAAGATTTCTGAGATTACCAAAGGAAAAGGTTATGTTTTCTCTATTAAGCACATAGAGAGCCTTTGCTGCAAATGGCCCAATATCATTACCAAGCACAGGCCAACTGAGTGGGTGCTGTTTTCACTTTTCTAAGATGTACTGAACTCTGATTTTATACTAGGAAATGCAATCTAAGGTCTCCAGGCCAAGAAACACATTTATGAATGGCCTCTCTTGTTACACAACTACAGCTGAGCCATTGACCTCACTGTAAAGGACACAGCACTGTCAGACTCGGTGCAAAGAGATGGATCAAGGCATACCGCAAACAGAACTGGCACAGCCTGGAACCCCCTGACTACTTACCATGGCAATACTTTTTAAAGAAATTAAGCACATTTTAAAACACCTTCCCCCCAAAGTCAGTGGAATAGCCTGAAAAAGCACACAGTAAAACAGGTTTGTGTGAACACAGGAATCTCATGTGGATGGAAAGCTAGACAGGGGAAGTTCAGGTTAGATGAGGAAAAAGTTCTTTACTGTGAGAGTGATGAGGCACTGGAACAGGTTGCCCAGAGAAGTTGTGAATGCTCCATTCCTGCCAGTGCTCAAGGCCAGGCTGGACGGAGCCTTGGGCAACATGGTTTAAGCGTGAGATGTCCCTACCATGGCAGGGGTGCTGGAACTGCATGACCTTAAGGTCCTTTCCAACCCAAACCATTCTGTGATTCAACTCTGCAATACCCTACCTTTTTCTGGCAGCTGTCCCCTTGCTGGAGTGGCACGTGTCAGTATGGATGCCACATGTCAGAGACCTTGCCACTGCACAAAAAAACCTCAATGCATTTCTGGCCAAATCCCTCCCTCACCTCTGTCCTGCACAAAAAAAAAGCTAACATCTGAGAAACACACTGTATTACAACAGTGTAGATTCTTACTTCACCTTTAAGTACTTCACACTATGCTTTTTAAACCAAAGTGGTAACCACAGACAGCTAAAGCAATAAAGGAAGAAGCTGATGTAAAAAGTACTGTGGCTACTTAACACATTTATGAATTTCATTTTACAAATACCTATGACTAAAGCTGTGAAAAAAAAAGAAAACATAAGATGTACATGTATTATGAAAGCATAGCTAAGAACAGAATCCCATTCTTGGTTTTTCATGAACGTACTTCAGCATGAGAACTGCCAAGAAATTCCTGCTGAAGCTTCCTTTGGCATGAACAGATTTTACTTTATGATTATTTCTTGTAGTCTTATCTCAGTAAGGGTTGCAAACCATCAGTGCCTACTGCAAAGACAAGTATCAAGAAGCTGTGTAGATGACATGACTTTGTGAAGCTATTAAATGCACAGGGCGTTTTCCATCTTAAGAGACAATTTACACCTATGCTGATTTTCAAACAATCTGCATATAGATTTTTATGCAGGAGAAAGTTTTCAAGCATACATTTTAAGCCCTCTAACTCACATCCTTTGGAAGCATTATGTCCTAGAACAGCATCTGAGAGAATTCAGAACTGCTCCAACACTTCCACTTCAAGCTTACACCAAACAATTGTAATCAGCGTCTTGTGGAAGTAGTTCTAAAAGCATACCCCTGAGAATCAGGATACTATTAAACTTTTTGGACAAGCAGCTCATCAAGATTCCAGGCAGAAGGAGACAGTGCATCACTCATCCTCACACTCAGTTACTAACCTCTTTTCCTCATCTCACCAGATCTTGTCTGGAGAACTAAAAGGTGAGATGTGATGTGGACTCCTCCCGTCCTACACCCTCGGGGTTAAAGAGCTCCCATCCCTCTACAACCTTCCTCCTCCTCACCCAAACAGCAGCAGGTTCTACCTCTCTCCAGGAACAAAACAGAAGATCAAGGGGATGATACTTAACTCAGAAGCAGAGTAGGGGAAAGCAGCTCCTTTCCCTTCACTTCTCATCCCTGTGCAGGTATTACCCCTCCCTACCTCATCTGTGCATAAAATCAGCTTCAAGAGTACAGAAGCCAACTACAGGACTGAGAGAGACGTAAGATCAGTGATGCAGATGCCCCACTAACACTGGATACAAAACTTATACTATTATATATAATTGTGAACATTTAGAATCATTGTGATATCAGTTTAAAAGGATTACCTGAAGTATAATATGCGATATCTCCATGCCATAAGTCACTGCCTGACAAAAAAAGTATTACCCAGTTGTTGCTCTCGGCAGCAGTACTGCTTTAAGGACAACAAGATGACACAAAACAGGCTGTAAAGCATGTTACTTGTACATATGCAACAGGAGGAAAAAAAAACAAACTGAGGCAGAATGCTTATAAAACTCCCTAAATATGTCAAAAACTATAAAGTAAAAAAGGCATGGAAGCTCCCTCCCATTGTTTTACAGTATTTTAAAGGTCACAGTTATGCACAGCACAAAACCCACAACCTCTCAAGTATAAAAATGTCTTTTTATGTCTTTATTTTAAGTCACACAGCTCTGTTGCACACCTGTGGGCTGACTTCTGGACTATGTATTTGCCTAAACAAATTTTTGCATCAGAAACTGAATTTTTGCATCAGAACAGGCAGTCATTCCAGCAGGCTTCAGAATCTGCAAGCATACCTTCAACCCAGCAAAACCCAACTGTCCCCAACCCATTCCTGCAAATTAAATTTAGGATCATAGAACAAAATACAGAAATCAAGCATCCCTCAACTTCTATTTTTAACTATGTATTACTTAAAAGAATGTGGCAACTTAAACTGCAGAAAAAAGAAAAACCCTTCCAAAGCTGAAGGAACAAGTAAAGTATTTGTGAAAATGAAATACAGCTGTTGGCAAAATGAGAAGGAAATACCCCAGAACATCAAACCCAAGATCAAACATCCTTAAAGAAAGTGCTTCTCAAGAAAGCTCACTGACAGTAACATTATCTTGGATGAAAAGTGATCTACTTCAGTGTTAAAGAAGCATTATGCAAGTTGAACAGCAACAGAGAATAATATAAAACCCCAAAGGTGTGGTTTTCAGTGTTCTAAATTTAATCAGAATGTTTGTAACTAACAATGGAAGATTTATAGAATCATCACCCGTTACCGAGAAAAACTAAATCTTCGAAGAGCATGTCGCATAACCATCAACCTTACTGATAAAAAGTGCAAATATTTAAAGGCTATCAGCAGATACTAGAGTTTTGCCTTTGTTTAGTTTTTTTCATGTTAGCCATGTCAATGACATCAAACTTTCACTCTCCTATTTTCTCATCCCCTCTGTTGAAAACTGAGCTCTACTAAACTGATTCAGGTGTCCCTTGGGAACTTGGCTGCTCATAAGCTTTAGTTATAATGGAAAGAACATCACATTACATCCATCCTCCTGCTTTATAATCTCTAAGCCCAATACAGTAAGGCCACACCTTGAATACCAGGTTCAGTTCTGGGCTCCTCACTACAAGACAGGCATTGAGGTGCTGGAGTGGGTAGAAGAGAGAAGGCAACGGAGCTGGTGTAGGGTCTGGAGCACAAGTGTGATGAGGAATGGCTGAGGGACCTGATGGGTTTAGTCTGGAGAACAGAAAGCTCGGGGGGACCTTATCGCTCTCTACAGTTACCTGACAGGAGGATGGAGTGAGGTGGGGTCAGTCTCTTCTCCCAAGGAACAAGTGACAGGACAATAGGAAATGGCCTCAAGCTGCACCAGGGCAGGTTTAGGCTGGAGATTACAAAAAATTCCTTCCCCAAAGGGTGCTCAAGCATTGGAACAGGCTGCCCTGGGCAGTGCTGCAGTCACCATCCCTGGAAGCATTCACACACCGTGTAGACGAGGCTCTCGGTGCCACAGGTTAGTGGTGGCCCTGGCAGTGCTGGGGAACGGTTGGACTGGATAAGCTTAAAGCTCTTTTCCAACCAAGCATTATCCTACAATTCTATGATTCTACTTCCACCTAACATACAATTTTCAGATATGCAATTGCTCCTCATCATACCAGTGACACTACAACAACATTAAGCACCAGCAGACTTACCTTCAAGAACACATCCCCGGGTGCCGCCTCTGATGTTCGCGAGCGATCCCCACTGAGGAATTCCCTGTACTCTCCCTCAGATGCGCCGCGGGAGCCGACCCAATGTCTCCTCCACGTAGCAAATGCTAACCCCCCTCCGCTCTTTAAACCGGAACCCGACCGGAAACCGGTTATCCCACCACACACATCCACCTCCTCACCCTTCCCTCCGCGGCTGGCCCCGGTCCCACCGCACCCCGCCTTTAGGAGCATCTCCCCCTCACCTTATTAACCACGTCTCGTACTCAGAGGCCCCCTGCGCGACCGGCTCCCGGGACAGCGCTGACGGACACCTCAGCCCGCTCCCAGCGCGACCCCGCGCAGGCGCCGAAGGCTGAGGGGAGGGGAGAAGATGAGGGCGGAATTGAGGGGAGGAATTGAGAGGAAGAATGGAGGAGAGGCGTCGGGTGGTTCTTTCGCGGAGGGAGCGGGAAAGGGATAATGTGCTGCAGGCGGCCCTTACTCACCGGTCTCTGAAATACGAACTCACTCCTCTAAACGAGATAACGAGGTTTTATTGAGGGACAAAGTCAGTAAAGCAAAAGCAACAGCGCTGGGCGCATGCCTGGAGCCAGAGGCGCCACTGATTAGTATTTGTTACAGGTTTATAGACTTATACATATTCATAATTCCCGCGTATAGGCGGGGAATATTCTAACTAGTTCCAGGAACTTATTTATGTGTTTATGACAGGTCTCACTTCGCACCCTGGCTGCACCGCTGTGACCCCCCCCCCCCCCCCCTCAACACTGCCTCTGATCACAGAGCGCGGGGATAGAGCGGCCGCCTGCCGCCACAAAGACCCCCGCTGGAGGGGCTAGAGCGGCCCTGGTGCGGTTATGGTTGCTGCTCGGCGGGGTTGTGAGTAGCGGGCAGCGCGGGCCTTATCCGCTTGTTTGCTTTAGGGTTGCAGAGCAAACGCTGGAGGCACAGCGTTATCAGCACAGTTCAGATAGTGCCCGCCGCTCAGCCCGCCCGAGGTGTGCGTGGCTGGGTGCCAGATCCCTTCCAGGTCTTGAAGGAATGTCAGGGTTTGGAGCTTTGGGGTGGGGGGTTGAAGCTGGAAGGGAGTTTTGAGGGCCATGGGTAGCACGGCTTTTGGTCGTGCTCACCAAAACTTGGGAGGTTTGTTTCCTCTCGAGATTTATCTGTTCTGTTTGGCACTTCTCTGCAGTGAAATTCGAGGGAGCTCACCCAGGAGTTCTTCGGTCTCGGGAATGAGGGCTTAAGATGCCTGTTTCAAAAACCTGGTTGCTCAGGAAAGAGAAAGGTGTTCGCCTTCGTGAAGTAGAATCACAGCAGGGCTTTTTGTGTCGAGCCCTAACAGAGCGCAGGCAGAACTTCAAAGATACATGCTAGGTGTGGGGAGGAAATTCTTTACACTGTAATAAAACACTGGCACAGGTTGCCCAGAGTGGTGGTGGATGCCCCATCCCTGGAGACATTCCAGGCCAGGCTGATGTGGTGTTGGGCGCTTGATCTAGTTGGAGATACCCCTGCTCATTGCAGGAAGTTGGACTAGATGAGCTTTGAATGTCCCTCCCAGCCTGAACATCAGTATTTTTCTTACTATATGAAAAAAGCCTCAAAAGTATTTTCACCTGCAGCACTGTATGGATTAACCAAAGTTTGTATGGCTAGAATGTAATGTTTGCTGTTTCTGTATCAAAACTTCCCAGCCTGACTGCCCCTACCAGCCAAAATTATTCTATATACCAGCCAAATAAAATTATTTGGCCAAAATATTGAAGCCATTTCACTGACAATGGCAAAAAAAGCAAAAGGGGAGCAGTAGGGATGATCACAAGCTGCCCTGCTGAGTGTGCCTGGCTCTAGGGTAAGCCTGCATGCATGCCTATCAGGGGCTGGAACAAACCAGCCCCAGACCTCCGTAAGGCTGCATCCAAGTCTGTCAAGCACTAAAAACTCTTCAAGAAAAAGGCAAAATTCAGCAGCTTTTGTGGTGAGAACTTCTGCTAGAAGCATCAGAGAGGACAAAATGTCTGTTTAGAAGTGTAAAAACTTAAATGAAGCAAACTGTGGCAAATATTTTTGCAAGAAAAAATAAAAAACCCTCCACTGAAACTGTCAGAAAGGGTTCACTGGGAGGGTGCTCAGGCATTGGAACAGACTGCCCTGGGCAGTGCTGGAGTCACCATCCCTGGAAGTGTTCACACACCGTGTAGACGAGGCCCTCAGTGACATGGGTTAGTGATGGTCTTGGCAGTGCTGGGGAGCGGTTGGACTTGATGGTCTTAAAGGTCTTTTCCAACTGAGTTTATTCTATGATTCTATGAAATTAGATCTGAGAAGGAACGACAGTGTTAAATTTCTTCTTGCTTGTAAATAGCAAAGGAAGTTGATAATCCAAAATTAAATATACATGAGTAGTTGTCCAGTAAAAACTGCACAAGTGACCCCATTTCTAATGGCATCATATACACCTATTGATAGTTTTAGTTGTCTTTTAGAATCCAGATGGTAGTTGATGATTGCAATCAAATCTGCCAAAGCAGCATCGCTCTCAAAGATAGTAAGTGTCTGTTAGTACTGTGAGAATCAGAGCTGTAGATGCAGCAAGCACTGCTGAGAGGGTGACAGAGAGCATTAGTCATTATGTGACCCAGTGGGAATGTATCAGCATTCTCCAGCTTGTCAGGCCACACGCATGCTGCAGATTTAATCAGTGTGTATTTTGTGTCCCAACACAGGCAGCAGATCACATTGTTCCTCATCTCACAGGCCAGCAGCGAGAGGTAAGTGAATGATAGGACCTGGAGCTACTGTGGTGGGGGTCTCATGGGTTAGGGAAGGGCAGAGAGGAGATGGCCAATGATACCTGTGAAGATGCTGGAAGTGAGTTGGGATCTGCAAGTGTGGACTCAGAGCATCAGGAATACTGTGTTACATGGGTATGAAGGATGTGCAGGAAACTTGGGATACTGCAGTCAAAGCATCATGGGGGATGTGGGAAACAAATAGGGAAACAGACAACAACTAATTCTGTTTACGGCCCACAGAAAGCTGTGTTAAATGATATCAATTCTTCTATGGCTACACTATTATAAAAGTTCCTCTGTGTGTTTCCCCTACAAGTGTCCTTATCTATCAGTTTCAACATTTGTCAGGTTTCTTTAATCAGGTTTCTTTCTGCTGGACTAAATCCTATGCTTGTTCCAAAAAATAAAACCCTCTGTGTGTATCTCATGGGAGCAGAATCTGTACTGAGAAGCATCCTGAGTCTGAGGTGTCCTTCAGCAATCTATCTTTAATCTTTTATGAAGCAAAACCTTACCTTTTCACCTACCTCAGAAATGCAGGTTGTCCTAGGTGACATCTTTAGCTGTTGATTTTAATCTCATTTGTAAAATCCTAGAGTGGCTTGGGCTGGAAAGGACCTTAAAGCTCATCCTGTTCCAGCCCCCTGCCATGGGCAGGGACACCTTCCACTAGACCAGGTTGCTCCAAGCCCTGTCCAACCTGGCCTTGAACACTGTCAGGGCTGTGGCAGCCACAGCTTCCCTGGGCAGCCTGTGCCAGGGCCTCACAGGGAGGAGAAGAACCAAACTTAAGCTGCCCAGAATATTTGCCACATGTAAATGTAGTACAAGCTATTTTCACCCACATACCCCCCAAAAATATCCCAGTGACTCAAAGTTTTCAAAGTATAAATAATGTTTTTGAAATCTTTGAAAAAAATAAAATCCTTATTGTGGAAATAATACCAATAAATAATTAGCTGTAAATTTAGCAGCAGGTATGTCAGTGGAATGCCACATCTCCGGTTTGGGGAGAGAGACAGAGTACCTGGCATGTTGATTAACATTGTTGTGCTGAGATGATGAACGAACCTCTTTTTGTCTTGTCTAGGAAGAGACAGTGATACCAGACAGAAAGCCTGGTGCCTCTTTGGTTTCCTTAGCACAGCATTAACAGGTTTCCTCAAAAGTGAAATCCATAGCAGCAGGGTCTTAGTGCTACTAAAACCAATCCTCAATGTACTTTATCTCAGTACAGTGTTACAGAAACAGTGGAATTTCTGAGCAGACAGAGTCAGAAGATGGGTCACTAGGGTCTGTTTCTGTTAGCTTTGCTGTTTGTGGAGCAGGAGTAGGTTTTAAAAGGTTTTAAAGTCCTGCAGGTTAGTTTCCTATTCACAGAGACATCAGTGATCTGAAGAAAAATTGTAGATGTCTAGAGCACTGTTTTCTTGGATACAGATCCAAAGTCCACATTGGATGCTCTTCCTGGCAGCAAGTGTGAAAGCAACCTTTCTTCTTCATCTTTGTTCTTCAATCTCACAGTTTAAACACAGGCCTCTTACCTGATAAAACTCTCAGATAAAAGCTATTTGCCTAATGCAATGCGGCCTTGAAAGGTGAACAAGATCGGTGGCCCTGTCTTGCATGCAGAGGTGATGCAGAGGAACCTTTGGAAGGGGCATTGGACTTCCCAGGCAGTGTTTTGTGCACAAAGACCAACTGATGTGGCCATAAGAGGAAGTTCTGCCTTAAACAGAGAAGACATGAGTGACTCACAATCCCTGTGACACTAGTGTATATTCTGCAGAAGTGTTAGTATTGCTGTGTTAAATCCAGAGTTCTGTGTTCCTGGTTTTGTTGTGTCTTTCTCACCTACACTCTGTTTTAAACCTTGGAACCCAGTCCTTGGACACACTAACCATTCTGCGGCACAAAATAACTTCCATGGTAGTATATTCTGGTGGTGATGGCTCGCTGTCACAGTTGCACAACTCAGCAAAACAGAGCTTACTTTAACATGGGGCAGGTGCCAATAACAGTGTGATGTCAGTAGAAAGGAGCTTAAAGTGGACTTCAAAAGTAGTCCTAGCAACTGGTGGATGTTCAAGCAATTGGTTTATGCTGAATTTCATGTCACTGCAGCTACACTGTGGTGGTAACCCAGCTTGTATAGATACGTTGTACACAAGACCAAAGTTGTATCTTTGTGTTGTAGAGTTAAGGCTTTGACTCCAAATTAAGCATCAGCTGTATCCCAGGGTAAATTTACAGGGCTGGTCAGGGTCACAGCCATCGATGTCCCACAGACTG